GTTAAGTAAGAAAAGAGAATATTAAGGGCATTATAAAGAGTTTTAATATAAAAGAAACCCATGAGAATAAAATTGAATCTTTTATAAATAGAAAAAGAGAGGAAAAAAAGAGGATACACTAAATAAGTACAGAGTACTTAATATAAAACATAACAATATACAAATCATAATACAATTACAACATAAGATAATACAAAATTGAGACCAAACAAAATGGTCATATAAATAAATGAATAAGCCTAACTTTTTTATTAAAAAGAAAAGATTTTCAAATTGATTATAGAGCAAAACTCCACTCTATGCTGTATTCAAAAGGTGCACTTAAAATGCACTGATTTCAAAAACACTAAAAATAAAGGTGGACAAAGATTAACCAGACAAATGGAAACAATTAGACTTCAAGTCCAAACATCAAAGTACAAAATGTACTTTTTTCCAGTGTATATAGAAGTTCCACAAAAACTGATCATATACTAGGCCCAAAGGGAACATAAAGCTCCATAAAATATATTTATTACAATGTAATAAGACTACAAATTAAAAAACAAAACTAAGAAAGCACAAAAAGCATTTCCCCATGGAAGTTTAAGAATACAACTCTTGGGTAAAAGTGGTAATACAAACAGAAGTTACAAATTTTGCAAAAAATAATTGCAATGAAAACACATCAAAATCTGTGGGATACATTTAAAGCAGCAATCAGATAAAAACTCATAGCCTAAATACTCACCTCAATAAAAATCAAAGCATAAAAATAAATTCTCTACTTAAAAAGGGAAAAAAAAAACAGGAAACAATAAAATTAATGACAAGAAAGCACAATGATGAAAACAATAAAGCAGGGAGGATAAAGACAGCAGACCAGATTAATAATCAAAATCCTGGTTCTTTCTTTAAAAAAAAACACTGACAAGCGGCCAAGTAATTTAATCAGGATTTTTTAAAAAGAAGAACAAATAACATAAAATAAGAAATGATAAGGGGGCAAGAAAACTACTGACACAGACAGGTCAGAAATGAACTGTAAGAGTCTACCTTGCCTACCTTGTGCAAATAACTTGAAAACTTAGAGAAAGTGGGTAACGCTCAGGCTACGGAAATGTTCCAGGTTAAAGGCGGTGAAATAGACACGACAACCAAACGTAATGCTAACTCTAGACTGAATCTTGCCCTGGAGGAAAAAAATGCTATAAAAGACATAGATTAGCTGACAAAACTAAGTATGTGTGGATAGATAAAGTTATGAAGTCAATAGTTGTACTGTGGTTACAGAAGAGAATATCCCTGTTCTTAAGAAATAACAAACTGAATTATGTAGGGGTAAAGAGCCACACACTAAGTAATTTATCATGAAATTGCTGAGGGGGAAAAAAGGAGAATATTTACACAAACACACACACATACACAGAGAAAGAGACAGAAAAGAAGGAATGAGAAAATGATAAAGCAATGGGTACAATGTTAACAATAGCTGAATTGTTTCTTATAGGTTTTTAACTGCATACTGCTGTTTCTTATAGGTTTTTATTTCTGCAAATTTTTTAAAATTTCAAATTATTTTCAAATAAAGGTTTTAAAAATCACATTTTAGAATTACGGTACTGACTCCATGTCTATTAATTAAAAGTTCATTTCTAAATAAAAATTCATTCCTTAGAATGTCAAATTATCTATAGCATTAATATAATAGAATGTTCAACTTCAGGGGTAAAGTAAAAAGAGCTTACCCATGGATGGGAAGGCAAAGAAGCCTTTCCATATTAGAAAGAATAATTCTCACAGTCTCTGGTGTTCTGGAAGAGCCCAACTCTGTCACCAAGAGAGATTTGGTAACATCTAAAAGAAAAAGTTTCAAATAATTACTACAGTTTATAAATAAGAACCTGACAAAAAAATTTGACACTTGTAGCTCAACAAATTGGACATTTTTATCCTTCTTCCTAGTTGAATCATATTTGTTTCTTTCTGAGGCTTTAAATATTTATGAATTCTTCTTCTCTTTTAGTCATTTTATCATCATTTTTATAATCATCAAAGGGCATCTAGCTTCTTAGCCTACCTCCCCAAAAGTGCAGAATATAACCAGTTTGCCTACATGCATGATACATTTAGCCACCAAATGCCTTATATATGTTTTTAAAAAGTAGAATTTAAAAATAATTTATATATAGATTTGAAATAAAACAAAAATTAAAATTAAATGGTACCACTGTTAAATGAAGAACTAAAGAGACTCTTGATGAAAGTGAAAGAGAAGAGTGAAAAAGTTGGCTTAGAGCTCAACATTCAAAACAGGAAGATCATGGGATCTGGTCCCATCACTTCATGACAAATAGATGGGGAAACAATGGAAACTGTGAGACTTTATTTTTTTGGGCTCCAAAATCACTGTAGATGGTGACTGCAGCCATGAAATTAAAAGATGCTTGCTCCTTGGAAGAAAAGCCATGACAAACCTAGACAGTGTATTAAAAAGCAGAGATATCACTTTGCCAACAAAGGAACATCTAGTCAAGGCTATGGTTTTTCCAGTAGTCATGTATGGATGTGAGAGTTGGACTGTAAAGAAAGCTGAGCACCTAAGAATTGATGCTTTTTGAACTGTGGTGTTGGAGAAGACTCTTGAGAGTCCCTTGGACTGCAAGGAGATCCAACCAGTCCATCCTAAAGGAAATCAGTCCTGNGTTGGACTGTAAAGAAAGCTGAGCACCTAAGAATTGATGCTTTTTGAACTGTGGTGTTGGAGAAGACTCTTGAGAGTCCCTTGGACTGCAAGGAGATCCAACCAGTCCATCCTAAAGGAAATCAGTCCCGAATGTTCATTGGAAGGACCGATGTTAAAGCTGAAACTCCAATACTTTGACCACCTGATGCGAAGAACTGACTCATCTGAAAAGATTCTGATGCTGGGAAAGATTGAAGGCGGGAGGAGAAGGGGATAACAGAGGATGAGATGGTTGGATGGCTTCACCGACTCAGTGGACATGAGTTTGAGTAAGCTCCAGGAGTTGTGACGGGCAGGGAGGCCTGGTGTGTTGCAGTCCATGGGGTCGCAAAGAGTTGGACATGACTGAGCGACTGAACTGACTGACTGACTGTTGGTAGAAATGTAAACAGGTGTAACCACTATGGAAAACAGTACGGAGGTACTGTTTAGAAAACTAAAAATGGGGTTGCCATATGATCTAGGTGGACATATATCCACACAAAACTGTAACATGAAAAGATACATGCACTCCTACATTCACCGCAGCACTATGTACCACACCCACGATATGGAGGCAACCTAAACGTCCATCAACAGATGAATGGATAAAGAGGATGTGGTACATATATACAGTGGAATATTACTCGACCACAAAATGATGCCATTTGCAGCTCCATGGATGAACCTAGAGGTTATCATACTAAGAGAAGTGAGAAAGATACAGACAAACACCATACGACATCACTTACATGTGGAGTGTAAAACACGACACAGATGAACACCAATGAAACAGAAAGCGGCTCAGATACAGAGAACGGCCTTGGGGTGGCCCAAGGGGAGAAGAGGTGGGGCAGGGGAGGATTGGGAGTCTGGGATTGCGGAATGCAAGCTACCACATATAGAACAGATAAACAAGGCCCCGTACAGCACAGGGCACCACGCTCAACATCCTGTGATCAACCACAATGGAAAAGAATACAAATGTGTACAATGGAACCACTCTGCTGTATAGCAGAAACTCACACACTATAAATCAACTATACTTCAATAAAATTAATCATCTGACCTCCACTTAGTAACCTGACAAATTATCCAGTGCTTCCCATTTTTCTCTTTGAAACACTGTGACCAAAGCTCAGGACACACTCAACCCTCCTGGTTCACAGGCTACTCTTGGGACACCTCACACTTCACCTGTGCCCACAGCTGAGATGTGCCCGCCAGCTTGTTCCGAGCCCTGCTTATTACTGTGAACTCTTCTAATGATCACATAACCTGTTTAAGTGAAAGAAATAACAGAGAAGGGGAAAGAATTCTTTCTATGAAAGCTGCCACATTCCTTCAATTCTAAGATGCACATTTTTTTCACATGTTAACATCTCGAAAATTAGGATGTATCTTCTAATCTCTGGGGTCTTAGAGTTCAATAAAAAGAAAACAAATTCAAAATCTGCCCTCAAATTAAGAGCCTGAGGAGAAAAATTATAAAAGCGGAGGAGGATTCTAAAGTTTTTGCTGCACATAAAAGAATCTGAAAAAAAAAAGAAAAGAAACGAACCTGCAAATGTAAACTGTGGAAAATGTTGGGATTGCTTTAGGGAAGATAAGTGCCTCCAAAACACAGTGAGCTGCCCTAGAGAAAGCAGACTTAAAAAGGCCAATCACTATGCTCATTACAAAAAGTTTTATGCCTCATTTAAAAAAAATTTATCCAAGTATAGTTGATTTACGATGCTGTGTTAGTTTCTGTTGCACAGCAAAGTGATTCAGTTATAGCTTTATATATAATATATATGTATCTAGGTATTCTTTTCCATATTCTTCTCCATTATGGTTTACCATGGGACCCTGAATATAGTTCCCTGTGCTATACAGTAGAAAGGTGCTCTTTACCCATCCTTATATATAAGAGCTTTATGTCTCATTTTAAATGATTCCCAACTTGAAGGGCCTTTTCCCTTTCGATTTACTAATAACTAGTCCCAGTGGCATCAGAGCAGAGGAATTCTAGAAAGAATCTGAGACGCAGGGCTGAAGCAATGACCCAACAGCGCCCTGCGGTGGGAAGCGCGCTCGCTCCCCAGGGCCCCTAACAAAGCCCATCCTTGCGTACACGCCCGTCTGCTCGCTGTACCTGCCTCCCCAGCTTCCACGGCCGCGTCCACAACTGTGGTCACGATGAGAAAGTACAGAGAAAACAGACACACTTACGAGTCAGGTCATGCTTGGAGAATACCAAGGTTACCGTACGAGTGCGTGGTCTGAATCACACCAAACATGAGGGTGAACCCACCTTCTTGGCGTGAAACCTGCAGTTTCTGCCCATTACAAAAGGCACCTCTTCCTTTCCGGCCAGTGTACATCTTATTTTCCAGGCAACTGTACACAATTCCAAACTCCATCTGCGGAAGGAACAATGCAAGCTTTCTTTACCAAACCTGAGCATTTTTCTTCATTCAATCAATACTTTTTCTAAGAAAGCAGCAAGAATATCTGGTACGTTAATGTTTTTAAACGGCTAGACTGTGGGCTATTTGAAATGCTAATTCCCAGCTGAGCCGAGGAAGAGGTCATCAGGTCTGAACCCTGAGTCTCCTCCTGTCAGGTTCCAAACTCGAGGTGTATGTTTTGACCTCTCTCCTTCCCGCCTCAGATGAAGGCAGATCTTCCCTGTTTTCTAAGGTGCCTCTTTCCTCCTGTGTCACACTTCTCTGAAAGCCTGCTCCATCAACAGATCCCTGTCTCTTGGGCTGTGATTCTGGTACTTTCTCGCTAGAGTGACCCTCCCTCACCAGGCCTTCGTTACCTTCCTGTTCTCCTCACTGCCACAGAGTGGTCTAGACTTTGGGTCTCTCGCTCTCTTTCCACATCGCGACCTGGCTTCTGCTCTGATCGTGCTCTCTTGAAGCTCCCTGCAGAGAGGCCGTGAACGGACCCTCACGGACCGGGCGTCCTCTCTGAGGGTCTGGGGGCTGCGGGCCGCCAGCCGCCAACGCCGTACTCTGTGGTCCTGGTGCTGTCCTCACGCTGCTCTCTCTTGGGGCCACTTCTTCTTCCGACTGTCCTCTCTGCCTAACCCCCAACAGTTGTGTGTCTCAGCCGTTTTCACCCTTCCTTTTCTTCCAATTCCCTTTTAGCTCTCTTGATTGTAACAGGCTTTTTCTTTCCAGTCCACAAAGTCAACTACCCTTATAGGTGTGGCTCCCATCAACCCCATCACCGCAGGTCAGGAGCTGTGCTTCGGAACCTAGGCTTGCAGAAACCTCAGCCACAGAGGTCACGCTCCCTCGCAACCTGATCATGCATGCCTCAGTCCTTCCCCATGAGTCAATTTTATCTTGAAAACACTTCCTGATTTTGGCTATTTCCTCAGTTATTCTCACTACCTCCATCTCAGTTCAGAATTGCCCACCCCTCTGGTGTGGCCTTGAACGGTGCTGGAATCATCTGGCACTCTGCACTGAAAAACCTCTCCTGGTTTCCAACCACCTCGAAGCCACTAACTGTTCCGGCACAGACAGACCACATGGCCTCATGGCCTGACCACAGCAAGCTCACCTCGCCAGTTCTGCTCCGACCATTTCCAGAGTTCCACTCACAACAAACATCTCACTGTCGCCCATACACATTCTGCTCACCCCCAGACTGTTCTTTCTGATTAAAATACTTTCCTTTTCTTCTTTACCTGGAAAATTCCCAATATGACCCAACTCACATGACCAAATTCTAAGACCCCTTCAATTTATTACGAAGACTTCCTCAAACCGCTGCTGACAGGATTCGTTACACCCTCTTCACGTTCTTACTTTTTATTTTTTTATAGTTCGACATCTAACTTTTGCACTGAACTGGGAATTCAACAGTCCAGAATGGATGATAAGAGAAATGCTCACTTATCTCCTTTTGAAGGTTCTCACTGATTAATACAATCCTGTGCCTAAGATTTCATTTGCACTAATTTATGTCTTTTTTTAATTTATGTTTTTATTTTCAGGGTTTTCTTAACTCTTTTGTGTACATGTTGATCAAATATATCACAAGCTTCTTGAAGACAGTTATGTAAGGTGTTATGTAATGTTAAATATCATTCATTTTTTTATTAATCAAATACTCAGACAGCATGGAAATGCAATAGGTGTAGAGTGTACGCTTACTGGGCTTTAGAAATAGTAAGTATTTAGGTTCCTGAATATACTCAGTATTTTCTCATCACACTTGGCCCCTACCACTTCCTGGTCTTTCCCTTCACTAAATGTCTACTAAAGCATTCCTAGCTCAGTACCCAACTCTTTCATTAAACATTTCAGATCCTATATCAACTCCTATCATATTCACATATATAATGGTGATTAAATACTGAATCATATTTCAGTTACTTGTGCATATTTTTTCCTTGTAAAATCTTCTCAGAAGACACTACGTTTTCTTCACTGGGAAAAAGTATCACAACAAGTTTAGCAGGTCTGTATTTTATTTCAAAATAATGGTACTACATATATTGAATAGAGACAACCTAAATTTATCATGGAGACTCATTTACTCTTTCTCAGAAAACGACAGCAAGGCATTTTACCAACCATAAATTTAAACAACATACCTTTTTATTTACCACAAAGCCAATTGAAACAGCTACAAAAGGAAATCTTAAAAAAACAAAACAAAACACAAATTTACCAAGGTAGAACTTATTTTCAACAAACTGTTTTTCATGATATAACTGCTTACAATTTTTCTCCTATGAACAGTCTCATCCCTTCCCAGAACTGTGTGTATAGTATGCAACCCTCTGTATAAGTATGGGGCAGGGGCGGAGGAATACACAGATGTATACATGCAGAATGCTTCTATAGACACGAGACATCTCTGAAAGGATCCACGAGAAACTGATAACAACAGCTGCCTCCGGAAACAGATTCTGAGAAGCTGGGATTGGAAGTGGGAAGGCCACTTGGCACCACATGCCTTTCTATACTTTTTGAATGCCAAGTTCCACGAATATAGCTTAAAGGTCAACAAAAATGGGATCATACTATCCACTGTACTATAATCTTCTGTATGTTACCTCATATCATGAGCATCTTTCTGCAGTAACATTCTATTATATATAGATCCTACCTCTTAGCTTTATGGCTTTAACAGTTCTATTTGTAAAGATACATACAGCCACATACGACAACTTCAAATATAACAACCATGTGTCATCCCATCAAACTGGGCTACTTGTTGAAACTCTTAATTCCATCAGGCTTTCTTCTATATATCTGGACTTATATACTTAATTTGTATATATATATATACTTTTTTTTTCCCTACATATTCTTCTCAGCATATACTGAATTACATACTTACTTTGTGCCAGGCACTATATTAAGTTTTTATATAAATGTACAACTCATTAAGTCCCATTAACAATTCTATGAGGCAGGTACCATCAATGTGCCCATTTTAGCAAAAGAAAAAAATAAAACTGAGGCTTAAAAAGATTAAGTTAACTTGCCCAAGGTCACAAGGTCACATGCTCTAAACCCATGGTCTTTCTAAAGTTTTTTCTCCTGGATTAAACTCACTCTATAAATGAATACTCTAGTACTGAGTTAGTCAGGTCCTTAATTGATTTCAAAGCAGCAATGTTGCTTGCATACATCTTTATGTGGTTTCAACAATGAGAAAAAGAATGGTGAACAGGGCACTTGACTGCACATGTCTATAACATTAATAGTTCATTACCTCATCCACAGCTGAGGAAAATTATGCATAACATATTTTACAACTACAGAATTCTCTAAAGTATATGTGGTTATGAAAACCATATTGAACAGTCCATTCAGTTAATACACGAACAATTACAATATTAAAATTTTTAAAACATACCCGTGTACAAAGTTAGTTGTTCCATCAATAGGGTCAATGATCCACGTAGGGTTGTCAGTTAAGATACTTTTTTCCCCAGCTGCCACAGACTCCTCACCAATGAAACTAAAAGCAAATATGACAAATTCTGAATCTTTACAGTTTTCAACAATTTTCAAACCTTTAGTCTACTATAAAACATAACAAAAGTCTACACAACTACACTTTTCTATTGTTTTTCCTACAGACAGATGAAAGTGAGAAAATTTTATTTCCCCCAGAACAAGTCATGTGAAAGATGACAGAATTCAAAATTCTCAAATGTATTACTAAGATAAGAAAAGACACACGCTGAAAAAGGCTTTTATTGCAGATGATAACTTACTAAGGAAATGTGGAGGTTTAAGTCTACCAACTCTCTCATAACCCTCTCTTCAAGAGGTAGAGCTTAATGTCCCTGGCCTTGCGTGTGAATCTGGACTTAGGGACTCGTTTCTAACCAAAAGAACAAAGGTACGTGACAACGTGCAATTCTGAAGGCTCTTTGACAAAATGACACTGAGGTTTCCGTCTTACTCACTATTTCTCCACCTTCCCCTTCCCTGTTTTCCAGGTGAAGCTGCTCACCACACGAGGAGCCGCTCTGTGGAGGGGCCCCCATGGTGAAGAAACTGAAGGAAGCTGCCAGTAGGCAGGCCATGAGGAGCTGAGTCACCAAAACCATGAGCGGATGGGTCCTCAGCCCCGGCTGAGCCTTGAGGAGATGACAGTTCAACTCTAACTCGATGAGACCCTCGCCAGGACCACGCAGTCCAGCTACTCCCGTATTCCTGATCCTAGAAAACTCTGTTATCTAGAGCTGCTAAGTTTTTAAAGAGTAACTTGCTATGCAGCGATAATACAGAGAACATGAAATAAGTTAAAGAGAAAGAAAATCACCCACCAAAATTACTGTATCAATATGCATTCCTAAAACATACTCCACAGTAAATGTCAGGTGAACTCTGTAAATGGTGTCTGAATTCATTGGATTTCTTCTTTCCTTTCCTACTTTCTTTGTTATTTATGTCCTTTATTCAAAACTGAAAAGTCCTAATAATCATTACCATGAGTATCTTTTATGTCTTTTTCTCTTAGCTATAAAAACCTTTTTACTGAGAGAAAGCATATGCAGATTTAAACAATTTTTTTTCTTCTCAGTGGCTAAAATACCAGGAAAGGTCAATGGCATGATGAAGAACTGCCAAATGACAATGTTAAAACTTTTAAAACGATGACAATATTTCAGTTATATTTCTGTGACCGTAAGAGAGACAGATTTTAGTATTTTCTCTCAAACTCAAAGCTACCACTCCTTTAGCACCTAAAAATGTTTGCAATATAGAGAATAAAACTGAACTTTCAAATCTTCTCTATGACAGACATTTGTCACATTAACTTCCCAGCATCTAACACTCCTCTTTCTATAAAGGAATCCAAATATCCCCTGTTCACTGCTCCCTGGAAGTTTGAGCTTAGGGAAAAAAACCCTAAGTTCAGCAAGTGATGTTTTTGCACATGATTTGTAACCTTGAGCTAATGGGGTAAGACATCCAAAGAGAGTAGTCAGGAGTGAGGCAGCTAACCCTGACCCAACCCTAACCAGCTCTGCCTTCCTCCCTGGTTGCTCAGTCCTACTCTCAGGGATTCTGACACCCTCCAAATAAATTCCAGTTCAGCTTAAATTAAGGACAGTCAATTTCTGAGTCTAAAGTCAAAATTCTTGGACTCCAACCTAGATTTCATTTTTATCACATGAAACTGACATAAGCAATACCTGTGAGATGGATACTTTTCCTTTATGGATGAGATAAGCATTTTTTCAACTTTTTGGTCAGTAGCAGTTACCAAATCAGCCGGAGAACTTTTAACCATAATATTCATTTCATTCTTGAGAGCTTCACGAACCACCTAAAAAGATATTTTTTGGTAAGCAAATAAGAAAAGCATATAAGTCATTTTAAATCAAATTAAAAGATGAATAATAGAAATGATTTGAAACAATCAATCTGCCTGGAATGATATTCTTAAATATTTCTTGCCACAATGTATATAAAATAAACCCTTAGTGGTTATGACTTTCTATGTATAAAACCATAGACTCTTACAACCAATTTTAGATATACAACTGTTATTACAAAACATTTAATGACATAAAATGGAAGTATTCACCCATTAAGTAAATTGAAAACAAATCCAGATCAATAAAAATACATGTTTTGTTTAAGGAGGCAACCACATACTACCCACATCCATCACATCATAGCTGAAATTTCAGTTCGTACCTCTCCAGCTTGTCCTGCTAGGGTTACTGCATAATCCATGCATTCCTGCCAAGGATCAGCCATCTTCTCAACAAATTCAAAACATACAAAGACAAAGCAGTTACAAATTGCTTAAAAAGTCTTAATTACAGAAGTTCGTTCACAAAAACATCTCAATTTGCAAAATACTTCCCTTCAGGATTCACCCTCCTCCTGATTCTAGAATTCTTTTTTTTTTTTTCCTCTATTCATTCACAGGTTCATTAAGAAACATTTTTAACCTAGCCTCATTCACTTCTATTGTAGAAACAGTTTCATAACAAAAAGTATTCTATGAAAGTGTTTCTCAAAGGGCCCATACCATATCTACTTTAAAAAACAACAATCATCTGAGGAATTGAGAAGAAATGACACAAGAAATATTCTAAAAGATAGACGCATATTTGGGTTTAAGAATAAAGTAAAAATTCAAAAAAGAATACAGAGAACAGTTAGCCCTCAGTATCTGCAGTTTTGGCATCCATGGATTCAAATGACCATGGATGGAAATTAAAGAAGTTTTAAAGGGAAGGGGGAGAAAGCACTAATTGAGTATGGTGCTTTGTACATGTAAAATTATTTTTAAAGATACTATAAAGATGAAGAACTTAAAGCTCAGTGAATATAACTAATTTGCCTAAGGTTTTGTAGACAGATGACACAACCAGAATTTGAACTCAATTCTGAATTGAAAGTCCACTGCTCTTTCTACTGTGACATTCTGAGGAAAGAAAATTCCAGGACTAAAAAAATGTATAAAGCTAAAAATGAATTGCCCCAGGTTTCAGAGAGGGCAAAAAATAAAACAGTTTTGTCTTCTGAACTGTCCAACTTTCCACTGACTTTTTACAGAGAAGACTAAAATAACTCACCACAGGCTTAACCACACTCCAAAATCTGTACCTAGGACTGTGAAGCTTTTTTAAGCTGTCAGATTCAGAAATGTGTGGCATCATTTATAAAGCAACCCTAATTGTTTAATCTTTACAGTTGAGAATAACTGACAGAGTTTCACCCTGGAGACTGGTCTGAAATCCCAATCATGGTGCTCACAGTATCGGAATGGGGATGAGAGGGGATGGGGGTGGGGGCAAAAGACAGATACTTTCAGCTGTTTCTGCTAGCTGTTTCTTCTTAATATATATATTATATGTGTGTGTGCTCAGTCATGTCTGACTCTTCGCAACCCCATGGATTGTAGCCCGCCAGGCTCCTCTGTCATGGGGTTCTCCAGGCAAGAGTACTGGTGTGGGTTGCCATTTCCTTCTCCAGGGGATCTTCCCAACCCAGGGATCAATCCAGGGTCTGCTGCAACTCCTGCCTGGACTAGCGGATTCTTTTACCACTGAGCCACATGAGAAACCTGTTTCTTAATATAAGCATTTAAATGATTTTAGAAGGAAGCCACTTTTTGAGTTACTCAGAACAGTTTAAGAATTGTTTCTAAGATCTTCTTTCTTCTTTTCATTCTTACTCCTGTCCCCTTCTTCTAGGCTTCAACAGAACTGGATGTTCTCATGGTGAATCTGCTTTCTAGAGGGAAACTGTGCTTAAGCTACTCATATTTCCCCCTTCTCACAGCTCTGATATGTGTAACTCCTACCAAATCTTCTGGGCTCATTTCAAAAGTTACCCTTTCTTCTGGGGATTTTTCACCCAGAGGCTGTACTTGTTCAATCAGTTGAGAGCTATGCACTGACTATTTATTCAACGAGAAGCACCTAACAGGAGAACACTGACCTGGTCTTAGGTACCAGATATGATTTCCCTAAGAACACGATTCAACCAAGATTTGAAGGACTAACTCAACTGCAGGACTCCTGGTATGTGAAGAGGAACCAAAAGGCCTAAGTGCCAGCTCGGAGACTAAGAGGAACAGGAGGAGGGGTGTGGCTGGGGGTCGTGCCACGGTGCTCACCCCTTAGAGGCATGATTCCCATGCGAGAGCCATGAGGCCTCACACATGGGGGCTGCAGAACAAGGCCGCCGGCAGGGTGGGGGGAGGAACGGCGGCAGGGAACCGCTCTGGGAGGAAGAGGCCAGGGCACTCAGCAACAGAGTGGACACGGACCATGAGGAAGGGGGCGAGTTTAACGAGGCCCGGATTTCCCACCTAGGCAAATGAATGGATAACGGTGACATCAACCGAAACATGGACCGATAGAAGACAGGCAAATCTGAGATCTGGGTAGGAGATGGGGAAATCAGAAGTTTAATTAGGAGAGCGTGAGGAGCCTTTGTGAGGCCAAACGGAGAGGTGCGCTGGGCCGCTGAACACACGGATCCTGACCTCAAGAGAAGCACGCCTGCAGACACAAACACGTCAGTTACGCGAGCAGGCAGCCACCGAGCGCCGCCTCTGACTGACACTGAGGAGGCCGCCCCGCCCGGGAGCCCACCGGCCGCCGGCCGTCATTCCTGGCGCTCTCGGGGGTCTTCCGCACACTGCTCAGCTGTGCGCGCGCCTTTGCCTTCCAACCAGTCTTACGACAAGCCCAAAGGCAGCGCCGCCTTCGCCTGCTCGGAGACGAACCCCTGAGGCGCGGTGGACTTCTCTGCCCCGCTCGCCGCCCCCTGCCGCCCGTCCGCGGCGGCGCGAATCGCGGTCGGGGGCTGGCGGGGACCACCCGCCCCGGACACGGCCGGGCCTCTGGGCCTCCTCTGGGATCGGCGAGGCGAGAGCCAGTGGGTCTCGGCCCGCGGGGCCGTGGGCGCCAGCCGCCCCCATGCCCGCCCAAGTGCAGCGGGGAGACCGGGCTCACCTCAGGGCGGCGGGCGCACCAGCCTGTCAGACCCTCGGCGCTTCCGCAGCGAGAGGGCAGCGGGAGGAGGGGAGCCGGAGCGTCCGCCCGACAGGAAGTCCCGTCCTGGGCGGGGCCTGCTCATGCCCCGCCCACACCGCGCACCCCTGCGCCCAGCCCCCAGCCCCCAGACCCCAGCGGCTCAAAGCTACCGGAGGCGCCCCGCCCTGCCTAGGCCTGCGGGGTCTGGCACCTTCTCTTTCATCTGTGCTTCTTTCTCCTGTCCATACATTTGTCTGTAATTAAAAGAAAATTCCTCTCTATTTTGCCATCTCTCGCGTCTTTCATTCCTTCCCGTTTTCCTATTTCCATTTCTTTCTCCCTGTCTTTCATTCCATCCTGTGGATGTCTCTGGCTTTACAACTTTTGTTAAACCTATGCTGCCTGAAAGAGGAGAGTGAAAACGTTGGCCTGAAACTCAACATTCAGAAAACGAAGATCACAGCATCTGGTCCCATCACTTCATGGGAAATAGATGGGGGAACAGTGGAAACGGTGAGAGACTTTATGCTTTTGGGCTCCAAAATCACTGCAGGTGACGACTACAGCCATGAAATTAAAAGACGCTTGATCCTTGGAAGAAAAGCTATGACCAATCTGGACAGCATATTTAAAAGCAGAGACATCACTTTGCCGACAAAGGTCCGTCTAGTCAAAGCTATGGTTTTCCTAGTGGTCATGTATGCATGTGAGAGTTGGACTATAAAGAAAGCTGAGCCCGGAAGAATTGATGCTTTTGAACTGTGGTGTTGGAGAAGACTCGTGAGAGTCCCTTGGACTGCAAGGAGATAACCAGTCAATCCTAAAGGAAATCAGTCCTGAATATTCATTAGAAGGACTGATGCTGAAGCTCCAATACATTGGCCACCTGATGCAAAGAACTGACTCACTGGAAAAGACCCTGATGCTGGGAAAGATTGAAGGTGGGAGGAGAAGGGGATGACAGAGGATTAGATGGCTGGATGGCATCATACTGACTCACTGGAAAAGACCCTGATGCTGGGAAAGATTGAAGGTGGGAGGAGAAGGGGATGACAGAGGATGAGATGGCTGGATGGCATCACCAACTCAACGGACAGAAGTTTGAGTAAGCTCTGGGTGTTGGTGATGGACAGGGAAGCCTGGCGTGCTGCAGTCCATGCGATCACAAAGAGTTGGACACGACTGAGTGACTGAACTGATGCTGTGTAAACCTACACTATATGTTTGCGTGTTGTAGGGGTTCCTAAGGAGCCTCTTCCAAATGTTCCAGTTTTGCAAGAGGATTATTTTGAGCTAAAGGCAACTGAGACCTGGTGAATGCAAGAGAAATTACTGTCCCTCCCTTAACTACCTAGAAGAATTTAAATTAGGGGGTTGTCTCAGAAAACAGTTTATTACTGGAGATATACTTTATCTAAAGGGCCCATCTAAATGGTAGGGCAAATATCTAATTACCAAACATCTGCTTTTCTTACCATTCTCCTATCCTTGGAAGCTCCCAGGACCCATCCCATTCCTTAACTCAGGACGGTGTATCAGTTCAGTTCAGTCGCTCTGTTGTGTCCAACTCTTTGCGACCGCATGAACCTCAGCACGCCAGGCCTCCCTGTCCATCACCGACTCCCGGAGTTTATCCAAACTCATGTCCATTGAGTCGGTGATGCCATCCAACCATCTCATCCTCTGTCATCCCCTTCTCCTCTCACCTTCAATCTTTCCCAGAATTAGGGTCTTTTCAAATGAGTCAGTTCTTCGCATCAGGTGGCCAAAGTACTGGAGTTTCGGCTTCAACATCAATCCTTCCAGTGAACACCCAGGACTGATCTCCTTTAGGATGGTATATAGTTCTCATTTTGCTTTTCTGCCTCTGACCCTCTCCTGCATGTGGGGTCTCTGGCCCTCTTATGTTTGTGGAATTCTCGTAAGTATAAAATTAAATTTGATTTTCTCCTGCTACCTCTGTCTCATGTCATTTTAGGGCTTCCCTTGTGGCTCAGCTGGTAAAGAATCCACCTGCAATGCAGGAGACCTGGGCTCGATCCCTGGGTTGGGAAGATCCCCTGGAGAAAGGAAAGGCTACCCACTCCAGTATTCTGGCCTGGAGAATTCCATGGACTGTATAGTCCATGGGGTTGCAAAGAGCCAGACATGACTGAGCAACTTTCATTTTCATGTCAATTTAATTCTTAGTCCAGCCAGAAGAGCTTACGTTTCCTAGAGGCAAGTTTTCTTTCTTCTGAACAATATATTCTAGTTAACCCATGATTAATAGATAGTTGATAGACAGATAGGTATTTGTTGGCCAGAACCAACCGCCCCTATTAAGAATTCTCTTGGTTACTTACCATTTACTGAGGACTTACCATGCTTCAAGCACTTCTGTTTTCACATGCATTATTTTACTTGAATGTTGCGACAGTACTGTGAGAAGATATAATCAGCTGCATCATATGGATGAGGAAACTGAGGCTCAGGGAGGTTATGTATCCTCAAGTCACACAGCAAGAGGAGAGTGTAGAAAACACTGACTCCAAAGTCCACACTCAGGGAATGTGGAGTGTTGGCATGATGAGGTTGCATCACATGAGGTGCAAGGACTAGTCTATGGTCCTTAAAATGTTTCCTCTTCTTGAAATAACACATCTGGCATGATACAGTCTTACCATTATAATGCAAATGGAAGTGCACAGATACAAGATGTCACAGCAGGATCAAGGAAGCAGGTTATTTGGCTTTTTGTATTTGCAGTGATTTCTTCTCTTAGCTTGAGCAGAAGATGGGATACTGTGACCAATGTATTGCAAATGAGAATTCTCAAAGGTGAATGACATGAAGCGTGGGACCAATTCTCAAACCTCACAAAGAGCCAGAACTTTGTCTCCTTCGAAAGAATGATGCTGTATCTGATTTGACAACCTTGATTTGTCTAATAAAAGTTGCATTTGTTTTCTTGATGAAAAAAATAACTTCAAAAATTAGATTTTTGGTTCTTCATTGTCAGTTATCTTAAAAGAATAATCTTGCCAACTGTGTGATGACAAGTGTTGGGTTTTAACCAAATAAAATTTTCCAGGCATTTGCAAAAATGTCATGAGTCCTCTTTAAACTTCATTTAAATAAACATGGTCCCACTGCTTTGGCAAAGCTGCTAAAATCAGAGTACTGGAAGTGAAATAAGATGGATGGACTATCTCACTCCTTCAAATTAAAAACTATTTCAAGCTTCCTACCTCAAATGAGCAGAAAGTACAGCTTTTTCTAGGGGCCTCAGCTGCTACTTTACAATTGTCAAGTAACTTGGAAATTTCTCAGTCCAAGGAAGCTGTTCTGCTTTCAGATGCCTGACCAAAAGTGAAATGAAGAGTCCTCTAGGGCACAGGGAGGTCTGGTGCTCAGATCTGGTTTTGGCGGCATTGCACACTGGCTCCCTGCTATCCACAAGGCTTTTGTCCAGTGCTGAGCAGTTCAGGTGGCTGCGGAGAACTGGTGCCTGGTGCATTGCTCTTGGCTTCCCAAAGGGGACGTTTTTAAAGTCACAGTCACGCCTGCAGGCTTCGTTCCCAACCCTCGATTGTGTACTGCTGTGCCAGAGTGCTTGGGTGTTGTGGAGGGCTCAGCTTCCACTGCCTCCAGACAGAATCTGCTGCCTGGCCTGGTGTCCAGGTCACCACTCCAGGCTCCCTAATAAGGAGATCCCTCTTAGGGGCTGTTGATACCTTTTCCTACTAGCTGACTTCCACCCATGAGAACCTGGAGGAGAGGTGCGATCCAGTGCCGCTGACACTTGCCGAGACCCGAGTGTCCGTGGAGAGGTGCTGGGAAGGGCGGCCTTTGTCAAGCAGAGCGCTCCTCGTCACCTGCCTGAGTGATGGGCGTCCAGCTGCACTCAATTTGTGTAGTCAAGAGTGACCTTCATCGTGATCCCTCCCCAGTCCTGGGTATCTTGCTAACTCTATTTAGTCTCCGGAGTGGGTTTCTTTTAAATGGAATCTCCTCTCCCTCTCCCTCTCTCTCTCTCTCTCTCTCTCTCTCTCTCTCTCTCTCTCTCTCTCTCACACACACACACACAGAATCTGATTCTACATACCAAGATTTTCTTGATAATTAATTGTTTAGTGGACTTTGATTAAAAATGACAAGAATTTATAAACACGCAATGGGGGAATCTTCAGGATACCTAACAAGGTTTTATGTTTTGACATAACATAGGCTGAAATTTCTGATAGAGTTTTTAGTTGCAAAAAATATATATATCATAGAATCATCTCTATTAAAGATTGGATTGAAACTTTTTTTAAACACGACTTACCCCTTTAACCCTGGATCTTTTGTCTAACCAATCATGGCTGTGTGAAATGTGTGAAAAGAAAATCAAGATGGAGCTGGTAGGATGCCATCGAGGAAGTGTGATTTATGTCTCAGCCCAAACACACCTTAATATCTTAACACGAGCACCCAGAACATCTACCCAGTGCTCCAGAAACTCAAGATATTATCGAGCCCTTAGCCTAAAATGACTCACGACAGCCTGTCCCCTAAGGACAATTATTTCCTTTCTTTAATCAAGGTCAGTCAAAATTCGTGAGCAGCCTTGTAACTGTCACCTGTACAAGCTCCTGACTCTTTCTCCCCTGTGATACTCTTTCAGGTTTACCCGAATCTGTGTCTCTTGAACTGCAGTTATGAAAACCTCAAATAAAGCTCTTTGTTCTCTGTAGCCTTGATACTGATTATTGCTGGACAAGCTGTTGGTCTGAACTCAAGCAATTAGGTAGCCTGCTTTATGTCTCTCATTCTTAAAGAACAAATAAGGAGCTTGAATAACTTTATCCCCATCTAAATTAGACAAACTTTCTCAGGTAAAATTTCAATATGATACATCTGTAAGATGAATGAAATACATTCCAAGTTCCATTCATATACATTTGTCTGCTTTTAAGTGCAAGATCAAACATGCAGAGTAACCATAATAATTACAGAGTTTACTGTATGTTAGGTGCTACTCTGAGGATCTTACTAATATTAACTCATTTACTCCTCACAAAAATACCATTAGGTATGTATTATCATTATCCCCACTTTCCACATCAATTTAGGCACAGAGACTAAGTAACTTGACCAATGTCACCCAGTTGGTGACAGAGCTGGAAATGAAGACCCAGGCACAACCTGGCCTCTGAGTATATGACATTACTTTTACAGACATTAATGATTAATTAACTCAATGTTTTCTGAGCACTAACTTGATTAAAGGCATTGGTTAAAAACTACAAAAAATTCAAAGAATATTATGTGGTCTCCGCCTTCAAGAAACTCCTACTTTGGTGTTTGCCTCCAGTAGAAAGCAGCTGCTGTGGGTGGTTATTATTGTCAACCTGAATCCACCACCGTCTGCGGTGTCAGTGACCCAGAGTTTCATGCCAGAATTACAGGCGTAGGAGTTGAGCAATATCTTAAACTTCAATTGAATCTCTTCCTTTTACAAATCTGAAAACTGAACTGCAGAGAAATGTCTTGTTTGAAGCCACAAGGTTAAGGATAAAGTACAACTAGAAAGGCAATTTCTTATCTCCCCATCAGTAAAATATGTTCATGAAAATGTGCAAAAGTCAAATGTATGCAAGCTTAATTATAATTTAATGCCCTAAGTTGAGATTTCTGTTTTAATGGAGTCAACAGTAAAGTGTTTCATGTAGGCAATTATCATTTTATAAAATGAATAATAACCATCCATCACCATGCCAAACCAGGGCTTTGATAAATCTTGGTATTCAAATACTGATTTGGTAAAATAAGAAAAAAAGAACTATGGTTGTCTTGTCAGTTGGCAAACTGAACAAAATTTCCCTAATACTGTAGTAAGATGGTGAATGACACTGATAGGAAAACGTTCAAAGTTTTAGCCTCCACACTAAAGTTATCAGATTGGTATTTCAAAACAGTAGTAGGTACACAAGGGTCAAAAGTTTGAAGTGTGGTAAAATAATTATAGCAGCTCACACTTGAGGAGCATGTACACTGTTCGTAAGATCTCAATTAACTCCTATGACAATTTGCTGGCGTTTACACTATTATCTCCATTTTTTAGATGAGGAAATGGTACTACAGGGTGATTAAATAATTTGCCTACAACTACAGGCCTGTGAAATGTGGGAAGCAGATTTATTTAGAGTGGTATTTCTCTTTCTTGATGCCCACACTCTCTTTGTAAAAAAGTGAAAACTGAAACTAGATACTAAAAATTGCCTTTGAAAAACTCAATGTTAGTATAAAAACAAGCATACTGTTCATTTGGGCCCTAGTCTGTGCTTCAACACTTTATATGAATCAGCACATAGGAAATGTGCTAGACATTATGCATCAAAATAAATAGTTTGCATTACTATAGTCTACTGTTTATATTATACTGTTTATGCTATTATATAAACTTACTATAGTGTATTGTTTACATGTTATGTTTATAAAATGCATGTTCAAAGACTTATAGCAAAATAGGGAGGATACAATAGGAACACAAAGAACTGTAATGAAAGCCAGACTGGCTAAATACTATGAAGGAAAAAAAACTGTGATGAGAATTTAGAGGAAATTTCAATTCCTGGTAGCTAACAGGAATTAGTTAAAGCTTGTGTTTGAGCCAGGTCTGTGAGAATGGTCAAAATTTAGACAGAGATGGTATGGGCCCCTCAGGTTGCAGGGACAATGTGAACAAAGGGCACAGTCATGAGTGACCCAGTTATCTGCTGACTGGAACAAAGCCTGCGTGTAAAAAGTGGGAGAGGAGATAAAACCGGAAAGCTAAAGTCAGCAGAGTAGGAAATGCCTCACTAGGAATACAGACTTTATTCAAGAGGTGACAAGGCTTTGCAGCAGGGAAAGCACATGATCGAAGTTAAGTTTTAGGAACATTAATCTGCCAGTGATTGGAGAGTAGACAGAGAGGCCAAAAGCTGGGGAAGAAAGGTTTAGGGAGGCAGCGATCTAGGGCAGAACCAAAGTGGGACTGAGAGTGGAGAGGAGACCGATAGAAAGGTATTATGGGAGATTGTCTGTAGGAAACAGTTCTACTGCAATGAAGGAAAGAGGAGGGGAGAAGGGAGAAGAGTGGGGAGACAGGACCCCGTGCTCCAGGGCAAACGGCAGCATCTCCGGTGGCGATGACGGGAGGGGCACCAAGGAGACCAGAGATGCTGCATTTAAGACAGACTGGTTTCAAATAGGAATTTACATGTCCCTTCACTGTGTGAGCGGTTACCAAATGCCTATTGTGGAAGGGCAGCCCTCTTGTAAATACTTGGGATATATCATAATAAGGTATTATATTCCAATCCAATGCTATAGTTGTTTCCTTCTTCTGAATTCCTGCACATTTAAGAGTCTGGACTGTCCACTGGGTATTAGGCACATATGACTGTATTGCTCCCCTAATGTCAAGTTATCAATCAGATCATAAGTGAGTTGAGAGCAGGAATCATCTCAGATATTCTTTGCATCTCCCACAGTAACTCATTCAGAGTAGGAAAATTCAGGAAAGCTTTAACCGTTAGACTGGGGGATTTTTCATTCTTTTTTCTTCTATGTTAAGGGTACATCTTTTCTTAGCCTTATAGAACAGAAGGATCAGTAACATCTCACATCCAGAGCACATGGCCACAGTAAACGGAGCCACAGAAGCTGAGTCTGCATCAGACTGGGAAAAGGAAAGCTGAATGATGGCAAGCGCTAAGAAACTATTCAGGACCCCACTTTCAATAGCAACAGTTTTACAAACAGGAAGAGGCAGCATAGAAATTTTAGCGAAAAAGTACCCGAACAACAAACCCAAAGCAGGAACTAAGACACCCAACAGAAGCACCTCGAGGTTCATTGTTTTCAGAAACACTGATCCCATGCTGAAAGTCAAATAAATCCCTATAAACATTAAAATAAAACTCAGAGGTCTGATGATCCTCTCCAAGAAGTTTGCTTTTTTAGGCAGTCTACGCTTGATGGCTATTCCCACTGACATTGGTGCGAGGATGAAGAGGAGGGTTGACATAATTCTAGAAATAGGAATATGCAGTGTACCTGATAACCCTAAGATTCTACTGTATATGTACGAATTGGTAGGCATCGTTACCAGGGCCAGAAACGTTGATGTGCAAGTCATGAGGATGGCCAAAGTGACATCTCCTTCTAGAAGCAGAGCAAAGAGGTAGCCCCCACTACCACCTGGGCACGTGCAGGTGACTATAAATCCAAAAGCCTGTGCCTCAGGCAAGGCCAAAATCTGCGTCAGAAGGAATCCGCAAAATGGCATAAGAAAAAACTGTATAACCGCCCCAAGAACTACCGGCAAAGGTCTCTTCCACACTGTTTCAAACACCTGGAACTCAATCTTGCAACCAAACGCACATTTATTTAACAGTATCATTGGCAGAAAAAGCATTAGGATGTTTCTGTCAATGAGGTTTGATGCCGGGAAAGGACTGTCTTGTCTCTGTTTGAGCACTCTGACTCGGACATTCTTTATCTCTTCAATGAGCCTTTCGCGCCTACCTTCCAAATCCCACAGCTGAATGGTCAGATTTGTCTCTCCGTCTCCATCTGTCACCAGATTTATGGTAAAGTTGGTCACGTCCGACAAGGTCTTGGTCACATTCACCACTTGGAGCATTTTATCATCTTCCAGTTGCACCAGGAGGTAGCTGGAGTTTGGTTGTTTACCTCTGTAACTTGACCTTACAACAACGGTTTCTTCCGACTTTGTGAAAAACAGTACTTCAGTCTTTTCTACGTTCAGCAAACTGAGAAAGGATTTCCTGGCTTCTCCAAGAGTCACAGACGACAAAAGCAGGACAATAAAAAGTTTTCTAATCATTTTAAAAGTTTAAAAGAAATCACATACACAAAACTAGTTAAACTGAAGAACATTCTTTGTACAGGTGTTCCACCGATGGTCTGAAGTTAGGTAACAGTTGTTTCTGCTGGATCAAAGTTCAGTAGGAGGGACTATTGTACTATTCAAACAAGTACAGAGCTGTCTAAGGAGTGACACAACCGGTTTAACCCAGTTACGAAACATAAAAAGCACAGCATTTAACAGGTTCAATTTATCACCATCGAAACCTAAGCTCTTCCCCCCACTTCCTCATTTCTGCCACTGGAAAAACAGCCTCCTACCTGCCTGAATTTAACACCTTAGTGCCATTGTCTTTGAGTTCTGTTCCCTTCTATGCTAAAAGCAGACAGGATCCAAAAATTTAAATAGATGTTGAGGAGGCCTAAAGTTGAGTACAATTATTTTATTCATTCAGGTCAAAATCAAATAAAAATTTACTGAACACATGTGCTGGAGGCCTGGGCGAGGAGCAGGGTACACCACAGTATCAAGCCAGATGACTCTCTTCTGGAGCTTAGTCCTGGAGGCTCCTTATCATTACTTAGGAAACTGCGGAGCCCATAAACTGGCCTTGCAGCAACCTTAGGCTAATAAGTTTTCCCACAACTCTAAATAGTGATCAAATCAGTTAGGCAAAAACTGAAAGTGTCTGTGGTGTCCTTAGGTAGAAAAACAACTTCCTGGGTGGTGACCAGACAGCTTGGCAACCTAGAGGAAGCACACAGCCGTATCCATGGCCAAAGCAGCAGTGTGGTTAGTGGGCCACTGCTGCTGGACACTCGGACTCTGACCCAATGGGGCAATGGAGGCCACTGGGACTAATTCTGAACTCTTCTTCCTTCCTTGTAACATTATTCCTTATTCACAGCTAGGGGCAAAGATATTCAATTGACCCAACTTAGGTCATATGCTTGAGGGCTGCCAGAAATAAAGGAAAAGTATCAGGCTTTTTGGACTTCAATCCATAGACTCACAAATGCTTTCCATTTCTGAGAGAAGAGGAAAGGCTTGTGATGCTAAGCAGGAAAAAAAAAAAAGACAAAACAACAAAAAACCCATTATAGTTATCTACTGCCAAGCCTACAGGTCTAGTAGTCTCTGATCATACAACCATTTCAGCAGACCTTTCACGATACTGTGTCTCATCCAACAATGACAGTTATGTATTGACTATTTCAGATCATAAAATGTTTGCTCTTCAAAAGCTATCCAAGCAATTTTTACTGGACATTTTTACAAGTTTTTGAAAATTTGATTTATGTAGGTTAATATTTCAAATGCAATACATTGTAGTTCATAAATTTTATTTCCATGTATCACATTAAGAAAAACAAGATACAGTGTACTAATACTGAAAATAGCAACTGGAACTGTTTCTGTGATATCTCAATTAAATTCTCAGGGAACTTCCCTGGTTTAAAAAGACAAGAACAACAAACATGAAGAACTTGAAACCAAAGCTACCTTTACGTTATGTGACCAAATATCTTAATTCACAATTGTCTCCCAGGTCAAAGAGGTGTGAAATGTAAATTTTACTTTCCTCAGATCCTTCCGTCTGCAGCCTCTCCCCTTCTCCTTAAAACTATCCAGAATAAAATCTGACAAAGCTGGGGAAAATCTAGTAGTTCATTATTCATGTGTATTTACTGGCTGCTTACATGACAACTAAACTCATTTCTATCATCATGGAGGTTAAATATTAATCTGAGTTTAAAATTTCTTTCAATTTGTGGGTTTTCTACTTTTAGTTCTAGTTGCCTGTGAGCAGTGAAAGATTCTAAAGGGGAAGGTGGGTACAGTCAACCTTAGAGTTATATTAAGCAGACTCAAAGCCTTAGAAGAAAGCCTGAGAAAGGGGTCAGATTTGAAGGCCATTTGGAAGTGAGGCCCTCGAGGGCCTTCCTCTCCTGCCCACAGTGGTGGTCTTCTCAGAAGACTGCTCAGGCTGCAGCCCCTCCCTGCACCCTGGATCTACAGCGCCTCCAAGAATGCTGGCACCTGCGTCTTCCAACTAGTCTGCTCAACTACCCAAGATCAGATTTCTGAGGATTTAAGTAAGTCCTTTCCTTCACACTGCTTTCTCTTTTCTAATCATGACAGGACCTCTTCTTTGGTCTCAAGTTTAGCTCAATCTCTGCAGCCTTACTTCCTCTCTTTTCAACCCCCATTGGTATTTTTTCTGGTATATTTAGCTTTTGTTCAATTCATGAGACGTGCTGGTAAGCTTACTATGTGCAAGTAATTATGACAGATGCTAAGGTATTAGTTGGTATTAAAACTTTCTGGTATATGGTAACATATTTAAGGATTTTTTAACTTCTGTTCTCCTGGTTTCTAATAAAAGAGTTATTAGAGTATAATGGCACTTTACTATATATTCATTTGGCACTTGCTATACTGCTTTGTATTATAGTTTTAATTATGTATCCATCTCTTCATTGTATCCACCATGGCAGTTAGAATCAAATCCTTACATTGAGAAGGTACTTGAATAACTTGGTTAATAAATGAATGTATACGCAGCGGATAGAAATCAGAAGTTACCTCCATTCACTGCATGAAAACAGTATGAAGAAAGAATTAGAGATGAAATAAACATTCTGAGTTTATTCCCTTAAGTAAACCTAAAACCACTATCCCTGTCTAGTGCAAGGTAGGAAAGGGACAGATAACAAACAGAAATAATTTCCATTCCTTCTCTATAGTGGTACTTTGTTGAGTATAGATGGAAGACATCAGTCAGGAGCATTAATTTTAATGTGTTGGTACAAGGTTGTAACTTGTGGCATGTGTTGTACTTGGGTATATATAATGGCCTGTAATAAACTTCAGCTATCCCATCTTCCTTTTTACTGTAATATATCCATACTGACAAAATGATGAATGAAGTCACTGGAGAGGGTTTTTATCAGAGATATACCCCAAAGCACTTAGGTGGCAACAAAAAAATAATTTCAACCCCCTTCCTAGGCCTGAGATTCCTCATCTACAAACTTTGTAGAGTGAATGAGATGACCTCTGTTTCTATGATTCATGTATACACATCAATTTACACATCATAATGGAGGCAGATACTAAGGCTATAGTTCCCCACCCCATGAGGCTAGGCTTGGTCATGTGTCTTGCTTAAAGCAAAAGGTCATGTGTCTTATCTTCTAACAGCCATTTCTTTCTTCTACCATAAGAATGGTTCAGTTCAGTTTAGTTCAGTCAGTCAATCGTGTCCGACTCTTTGTGACCCCATGAATTGCAGCACACTAGGCCTCCCTGTCCATCACCAACTTCCAGAGTTTACTCAAACCCATGTCCATTGAGTCGGTAATGCCATCCAGCCATCTCATCCTCTGTCGTCCCCTTCTCCTCCTGCCCCCAATCTCTCCCAGCATCAGGATCTTTTCCAATGAGTTAGCTCTCTGCATGAGATGGCCAAAATATTGGAGTTTCAGCTTCAGCATCAATCTTCCAAAGAACACTCAGGACTGATCTCCTTTAGGATGGACTGGTTGGATCTCCTTGCAGTCCAAGGGACTCTAAAGAGTCTTCTCCAACACCACAGTTGAAAAGCATCAATTCTTCAGTGCTCAGCTTTCTTCACAGTCCAACTCTCACATCCATACATGACCGCTGGAAAAACCATAGCCTTGACTAGATGGACATTTGTTGGCAAACTAATGTCTCTGGTGTTTTTTTTTTTTTTTTTTAGTTTCAATAAGTGGTTTTATTACTGGTTAGATTTTACAAATTCTGGTATTTGAACAGACTTCCACCTTAAAATTCTAAAACAACAAAGTGACCATTGGAGGGAGTTTGATTTTTTTCCTTTTTTTTTTTTCTGTTTAGGACTATTCAAAGTAACAAACTTTTTTTTTTCTTTTTTTACATTTTTGCTCTGGTCATAAATATACAGAGAAAAAGAGGGAGAGAAAAAAATGAACAAGTCATTCAAAGTATGGCGATAAAACAGTATTCCTAAGGCACGTGGCAGTCTTTGAAAATACAGAAGCTCTAGCCAACTTAAATTACTTGTTGTTTTTCCTCGCTCAGTCCACAAAACTGTACAGTGACACAAATGTTGTGTTGCAGATAGATCTTCCAAGTAATTCCAGTCCAAAGAGCTGTGTCAGCCGGGGGTGGGGGGGCGCAATTATTTTCTTCCTCAGTTTCCAGGCGAGATCCTAAAATGTGGTTAGTTAGTTGCTCAAAGCCTCTATTTTAAAATACACTTGGAATTCAACTAAAGATAATTTCTTTATTAAAGAAACAGCGGGGCGGGGGCAGAGGTGGGGAGGCGGGGCGAGAGTCATTAGAAAAGGTTGGTAAGAGTCGTTTGCGAGGGGCTGTGAGGCTCGTGGCCCTCCAGGTTGCCAGTCACAGAAGTTAAGACGGACGTCACAGTCGGCAGGGTGGGGCGAGTCAAGTCTGTGAGGGTGGCGGGCGTGCCGGAGGGGCTGAGCGAGGCGTTGGACAGCTCCGAGGCCGGCCCTGACAGAGTCCCTGTCTGCAGCAGCGCCTCCGGCGACTTGTCCACGCCCGTGTTTTCCTGCCGTAAGAGGTTGTGCCTGAACTTGGCCCAGGCGTTCTGAAACCAGACCTGCAGAACCCGCTTGGTGAGGCCTGTCTTTTGCGCGAGCTGCTTCAAGTCCTTGGCATCGGGGTTGTGGTTAATGGCAAAGTAAGACTTCATGGTCCGAAGCTGGTGGTGCTTGAAGGAGGTGCGCATGCACTTCGTCTTCTGGCTGCTCGGGTATGGCTGGTCTCGGTCCAGGTGCTCCGCGTTGTTCTCGTTACAGCTCAGGGCAGCGTTGCAGGCAGCCAGATCCGCCCCAGGCCCAGGGCTCTTGCGCTTCCTCGGCCGCCCCTTCTGCACTGTGCCCATGCCATTGTAGTAGGGAAGACCCAGAGGGTTGGCCCCGGCTGCACCCAGCCCGGCGCTCTTGGCCGCTGCGGCTGCCGCCACTGCAGCCGCCACGTCGGCGTGGTTGAAGTGCGCGGGGTACTCGCCCTGCAGCAGTGCCTTGAAGTGCAAGCGGCAGTAGACCAGGCTGTCCTTCATGCCGAAGTGGTCACCCGTGGTCAGCATCTTGTTACACGTGGTGCACGTGAAGCAGTTGAGGTGATAAACCAAGTCCCGAGCTCGCATCACCATCTCCGAGGCCGAGATGCCCAGGTGGCAGCGGGCGCAGCGCTGCACAGAGAACCGCCTGTAGTAGTCTTCCTTGCAGTAGATGCTTCCATCCTTGCTGAAACAGGTGAGCTCCGACTCCAGGTTGAGCTTGCACTCGCAGCACTTGAGGCAGCGCATGTGCCACTGCTTGTCCATCGCCAGCAGGTAGTAGCGGTCGGAGATCTTGCCCCCGCAGCCGGCGCACAGCACAGCACGGTCACTGCTGATGGACGGCATGGTCCTCTCTCCTTGGTCGTTCTCACCATTATCTCCCACACTTTCTTCTTTCTGCCTCCCCTCATTCTCCACCCCTCCTTGCTCCCGGTGCTCAAGAGGACTATGTATCTCTCCGCCTTGAAGCAGCAGCCCCAGCCCCAGAATCAGAACTTAGTCCATTTCTCTGCTCTGAGACCTCGGACCAGTCACTTCCTCCCTCCCAGCTGCAGTTTCCGTCAATGTCTCTGCTTTTTAATAGGCTATCTAGGTTGGTCATTCAGAATTTTCCACAGTTTATTGTGATCCACATAGTCAAAGGCTTTGGCATAGTCAATAAGAATGGTAATGTCCCCCAAAAGGGTCAAAGCTTCATCTTAGATTCTGGAGTAAAGATAACATAGAGCAGAGTCACGGCCCATCAAAGCTGACATTAACCAAATGAGAAATACACCTTTGTTGTTGTAATTACAGCATAAACTAATAAAAGTTAATTAGGTACAAGAATTTGTTAATAACTGGATGTCAGTTAATGGTTACACTTGAAAACACAAAAATTCAAATTCAATTTAATAGAAGACTAATAATGTAAATTATGACATAATAGAATTCAAAAGGAACTTAAAAAATATATATATATAGTATTTGTAGTAAAAGAAGTTGACTTAATGTTGAATTTTCTTCTTGATTTCTGGCTTGAGTCCCTGCATGGTTATTCCAAGTAAGAATCAACATTTTTTAAAAACTGGTCTTCATCACTCAGATATTCCAAGATAATATTTCCACCATTGTACAAAGGACAATCCTCCTTAGCAATCCAGGTTTCCAAAATATGATCCAAGGGTAAGGCCTCTCCTGAGACACTGTGACATAACCTCAATTTCTGTTAAGACAGAAATACGTCATAAGGCAGTAAATAAACATGCTTTATAGAGCATTCTAAAGCTTTCAGGGACAAGTTATACCCTGTTGTTACCTTAGCTGTTAGTCTGTTGTTGTCATTTTTAAGGCTAGCTAAAGAAGCTGCGAAGTCTGTGGCCTTTCCGACACTCCATCCTCGGCAAAAGAACATGGCTTTCCTCTTCTCTTTGCTCCCCTTAGGTAAGAAAACCTGAAAGTAAATTCTTTCCATCTGTAAAGATAAAAAGTTAAAATACAGGTTATATACATTAGGTAGACATCTGGTTTTCTCTGATGACATCTCTTCCTTGTTTCTCCTGGCCAGAGAAGCATTATCCTCTAGTGACACAACTTTGGGAAGACAATCATAGAATCCCAGCATCCATCTAAATGCATGGACAGAGAACCTAAGTCCCTAGTCTGGATGATCTGTGCAAAAATAGGCATGTGACCTAAATTAGGCTAATCATTTCCTGGGATTTTGCATTCAAAACCTGGGGGTAGGGAGGAGCAACAATTTTTTCAGAGGTTTTTTAAAAAAAGTCTTGCTAAATTAAATCCAAAGGTTTCTGCAGTTATCCCCTATGCCTCTCAGCCACTCCTGAACCAATGTGGAAAAGTTTCTTCAAAGGAAAAACAGTGAATCTAACACAGAGAAAGAGAGAAGTCAAGAAAACAGATGGCTTCTCTCAACAGCATTTGAGTCCTGGAATTCAGTCATCCTGTGAGACCAGATCAATGCATTACTTCCCATTATACGAGAAAAGAAATGGCTAGTGAGTTTCAGTCAAGTTTCTGTCTCTTATAACTGAAAAATTCCTGATACCTATACATTTCTGTTCACCTGGAAGACCTCAGTACACACTTAGAGACTGCAGGGCCTTTGAGAAAAAAAGAAACGTGAAAAATCAGAAAAGTATCATGTCAACAAAAGAGAAAAACTCAAATTCAGAGATGGTTCCTCTAGTATTCTATACCCTATATGCCTCTTACATATTGTATTTTCTTGCAAAATTACAAATGTAAGAAACAAGAATAGAAGCAAGGGTATTTAGCTTCTGAGCTACCCTTCTTTTCTAAAATCACTTAAAAAAAGTACTGGCTTTATAGACCAATTCCTGCTACAATAAATATTTTGGCATAACTGGAAGGTCTCTCAGTTATAGGGAGAGATCACAATTATTTTAAGAAATAATAGATTCAACACAATTTCCATCTCAGCACTAAGAAATTTAGATTTGTTAAAGACCAGTGGAATGCGTTATTACAGATAACAGGAAAAGAAGAAATTATGGGAAATTCAAACTTTGGGACAACTCTGTAACCTCACAGTTCTTGCTCCAGTAACATGGCAATAAAAGCATACATATGAAAAGAGAAATTTTAAAAGATATACCCTCACCTAAAAGTAAAAAAATAACTATGCCTGAGTATCTAAAATGAAACAGAAATGCAGAGTGACGCAGGCAGGCTGAGCCATAGGCCCCAGGGCTCAGAAGAGGCGGGTTAACGAGAAAAAGCAGGGCCACAGGGTGAGCGGCCCCTGCCTCTGGCCAACTGCCTGGAGGCAGCGGCCAGTGTGGGCTGGGCCCTCCAGCAGAGGAGGCTTAGGAAGTCACTGAGGCTGGCCGACTGAGGCTGCTGCTCACAAAGCCGACGCTCAGGGAGGCACAAGAGCACAGATACAACCTCCTCAGGGAACAGAGCCAAAGCCTCCAGCTCAGTAACGGATCTGTAGGAGGCCGAAAATCTCTGCAGGGCAGAAGCAGAAACTATCAGTCTCAGACCTGGGTTTGGAACAGAGGGCGTGGGTAGGTGGGCCTGTGGAAGAAAAGGTGAGACCTGGGGAGAGGTGAGTGAGACAGGAGAGACACAGAAAGAAACTGCTCCTCAACGCGAACATGCTGAAGCTTGAAGCTGAAACTTCGAAACAAATCAAAGCTTAGTTTATTATGGGTAGGAGAAACTAAACTTGAAAAAGACATTTTAAAGAGTTATTTAGGATATCTGTGGGTGCTCAGTCACTCAGTTGTGTCTCTTTGTGACCCCACGGACTGTAGCCCGCTGAGCTCCTCTGTCCATGGGATTCTCCAGGCAAGAATATTGGAGTGGGTTGTCATTTCTTCCTCCAGGGAAGCTTCCTGACCCAGGGATCGAGCTGGCATTTCTTGTGTTCCCTGAATTGGCAAACAGATTCTTTCACCACTGAGCTACCCGGGGAGCCCCTATTTAGGACGAACAATGAGAAAAATGAAAGAATATTCATAAAAATAGAACAAACAGTTATAGAACCGAAACAGGCAGAAACGAAACATGAAAAGCTATGAAGAACCAATTAGAAATAAAAAAACTTAAAAATACAGTTTCTGAAATAAGAAACCCAAACAATAAATTTCTATAATATTCAATAAAAAGGTTTAATTGATTGAAAGATGGATTTGAGGCTGTCATCTAGAAGGCAACACAAACAGACATAAAGATAGAAATTATACATCCCCAAAACATGTCCAATAAGAATTTCAGAAAAGAAGAAACAGAAGCAATGTTCAGAAAGAAAACAACAATAATTTTCTAAGGGTAAGGGATCAACAGCTAAAATGCACCTCAAGGTCAAGCTGTGTAATTAAAACAAATCCATACCTAGAAACCTTGCACTGAAACGTAAAATATCAAAGACAAAAATCTTAAGTTACAAAACAAGGTATAGATTACCCATAAAGCAACAAGAGTAAGATCTACAGCACATACTTCCCAAACAATAAACAAAAGAGGCCAATGAACAGTTGATTAGAAGAGCTGAGAAAGGCAAATAGACAATCCAGCTCAAGTGAGGGAAAATAAGGGCAGTTTCAGACACAAAAGATGGAAAGAGTTTGCCACAGAGACCCCTGACGGATGAACTACAAAAGAATGTGCTTGAGCCAAAATAAAAACGAGTCTTAAGAAAAAAAGAAACTCAAAAAATATATTGGCAAATTTAAAAAGCAACTGACTTAAAAGCAATCATGTGCATAAACGAAGTCAACGAGATGGGAGATACTCAACCTCAGGAAACATGTCCCACTCCTGGTCTCATTCAAGAGGAGACGGTCTCAAGTAACTTCAGATTCTGAGAGAAGAGTTGGTATTTAATTATATATGTCAAAAATCTTAAATATAAGCACATGCCTCTTATCACCATTATTACAAAACATTATATTGGAGATTATATATAATATAGTACAAGAAAATGAACTAATTATTGAAAGGTGAAAACTAAAGCTGTTTGTCAATGGGATGTAATTGTATACCTAGGAAATCAAAGGCAAAAACAAAACAACTTCTAAAATAAATACAAGAATTTGATGCTGTGATTGAATACAATGAATATATAGAAATCAAGCCCTTTTTTCCTATGTTAACAGTAAGTTCTGGAAACAGGTACAGGGAAATATTCTGTTCACCAAAGAAAGAAACTCCGTAAGACAACTGGAGATGTTGGTACGCGTGTGCGCTCAGTAGCTTTAGTCGCGTCCGACTCTCTGAGACCCTACGGGTTACCGGTAGCCCGCCAAGCTCTTCTGCCCATGGGAGTCTCTAGACAAGAGTACTGGAGAGAGTCGCCCCTCTTCCAGGGGAACTTCCAAACTCACATTTCCTGCGTTGCAGGTGGATTCAACAAGGAATAAGACTTAGATGAAGAAAAATATATAAAATGTTACAGAAGGCAATAAAATATCTAAATAAAAGAGAAGACATAAAGTTCATAGACAGGAAGATAATGTTATAAAAATGTCATTTCTCTCAAAATTAATATATATAATGTAAAGCAAATTCAGAGAAACCCTCAGGAATGATCCTCAGTCAGGACTTGTTAATAGATGCTGCTGGGAAATTGAGTTTACTTTACCTAACTTTGCAGAAATCACTTGATAATACAAAGGAGGTTTTATATCAATTACTTAGACCTGGTGGGTAAGGAGGGAGCCAGAATCCCCAGCACAAAGAGGACAAGGCCAACAGGGTAAGAAATCCTCCTGAGAATGCAATCAGGCTTCTGTAGGCACTGTTATTCACAGCCTACATCCTTGTGGGAAACAGTGACAGATATAAGAAACTACGTTCTAAGATCAAGCTGTGTTCTTTTTTGCTTTTCATAATGTTTTTTCTCCGTTTCTCTATTTTTGCTTTTAAAGAGCCTACGTCCCTCAACAGTATCTGCTGGAGTCTGTCACTGACAACCTTATCCCATCATGACAACCACAGAGATCCCAAGATGGATTAAAAAAAAGTGTATATAATAATCGTAAGGTCCAAATGGATGAACAAACCAAAAGAGAAAAGAACTGCTAACACAAAATATGGGAAAATATGAGTGAGACTTACATGATCATATGTTAGAACACTCTATAAACTTATTACATGAAGTCAACTTGGTATTAACATATGAGGAAAAAACAGATAAGGAATTAGAATAGGAAATCCAAAAACAAACCTAGTAAAAAATAAATCTTGAATTTAACATGAAGGTGATATTTGGTATTTCAACTTAATAGGACAAAAATGATTTATTTAATAATTAGTGGGTAAAACTAAACAACTGGAAGAAAATATCCTTAGCTCATATAATATGTTAAAGTCAAATTCCAGACCTATTAAAGACAGATGAAAAAAAAAAAACCTAAAACCCTAAGAAAACCAAACCAGAAATGAAAGAAAAGACAGACCCTAGAAAAATTTAGAGCATGATATGTCAATAAGGTACATAAGCAAAATCAAGATTATTTGATAGGTTTTGAAAAAAAAGTTTCCAAAGCAGACTGATTATAGAAAGGATCAATATCTATTCTATTCCAAGAATTTCCACAGTTGATGAAGCAAAATAAAAGTGAAATAAAAATAACAATGTAAAAGAAAAATGATCACAGGATGGGCAATTCAGGGAAGAGCATTCACACACGGCCAATGAACATAATAAACAGATACTTAAACTGAACAATACTTTGGCTACTGAACGCAAGGACACAAAGAGCTGACTTATTAGAAAAGACCCTGATGCTGGGAAAGATTGAGGGCAGGAGGAGAAGGGGACGACAGAGGATGAGATGGTTGGATGGCATCACCGACTCAATGGACATGAGTTTCAGCAAGCTCTGGGAGACAGTGAAGGACAGGGAGGCCTGGTGTGCTGCAGTCCATGTGGTCACAGAGAGTCGGACTCGATTTAGCTCCCGAACTAAACATTGTTCAGCA